TTCGAAGAGATAAGCCCCATGACCTTGCTGCATAAACAAATATTATGTAAACATTATATGTAAGCAATCATGCACATACATACGTACATACGTACAATATGTATAATAATTTAGCAATAATTATTTCATGTTACCTGAATAGCTTCATCATATTCCTGCGCAGCTTGTTTTGCTTCTTTGGCAATTCCTTTAATTGTTTTCTTTCCATCAATTTCAGCTTCAAATCCACATACTGCTGCGGCTTCATGAAGTGGGAATTTGTAAATAGCTTCAATCGAATCCTTCTCAACATTTTTATATGTCTGACAAACCGTTGCTAGGTTAGACGAACGAGGATATTGGTTACATTAAATATGATAAAATTATAATAATATTCAGATATTTAAACTAATTTACTTTCTGCTATCATATCAACGACTAAATTTAAAAAAGAACATTAGTGACATAAAATAAAATAATGTAGTAAAATTGATATGTAAAAAGAAACTTTACTGTTCGCTTCAACAGAAACATTTTGTAAGGGAACGGGGTTTGGACTGTCCCCTACGATGAAAATAAGCCCGTATGTTTGCATTTTTTAATTTTTTAAAAGTTGTAATAACGTTTAGTCTGCACTCACGCCACTTTATAGTAAATTTAAAACTGCTGCGTATAAAGACTATGTACTGCGCATACGTATGTACTTAAGCGGATATCAGATATTAAATAATGCTATTTGGTTGGCCTATCGGAGATTATCGATTTTCTTGTGCATTTTTATAGGCATGTTAATAATAATGTGCGACCAGTGCTTAAATTCAAAAAAAAAAAGTTACTTGCACAAGTAAATTTTGTGCACATACTAATTTTTAAAACATCAAAGAAAATTGCATATGTGCATCTTGTGCAAGCCAATTTTAAACCTTGTGTGTAACTGCTACAAACCAACCGCAATATGTTAGACAAAACGAAATAATGTTAATGAATAATTAGCATAATTGGTAATGCACGGTATCCATTTTTTATTGGCTGACGAAGTAGCGAAA